GTGGGGAGGGGTGATAGAGTGAGATTCCCTAATTGTTGTCACGATTAAGACATCGTATAGATAAGTCGTAATTTTTTTTCGAAAGGGTGCCAAGGGAACAATCGAAGTGTGAGACAATTTATGATACGACATTTAAGATGTTGTAAAAATGAAATATTTATTTCGTAATTAATTGCAAAATTGAATTATGAAGGGAAATTCGGATAAATTCGGATGAACAAATTGAAATGTTTCAAAATTCAAAATGGGATGAAAAAACAAAACATAAAAACCTTAAAAAACACGGAGGCCAAAAATATTATTTTCGAGAAGAAGATTTTTATTTTTTTTTTTTGTGGCGTGGATTTTTTAAAAATATTTTAAGGCTCTTTTAAACGTATTTTTGTAAGTTCCCCTACAAGACGTCGATTTTTATACCTTTCACCAAACTGTGGTGCAGGGTATGGTCTTTGTGCATATGTTTTGAGAATATGCATAGTATCACTTGTTATACCCTCCACCATAGTATGGAGGGTATATTCATTTTGTCATTCCGTTTGTAACACATCGAAATATTCATTTCCGACCCTATAAAGTATATATATATTCTTGATCAGGGTAAAATTCTAAGACGATCTAGCCATGTCCGCCCGTCTGTCCGTCTGTTGTAATCACGCTATCTTCTGAAGGAATTGAAATAGGGGGCTGACATTTTGCATAGGGTTGTCGAAGATGGTATATATCGATTCACGTTTAGGTATAGCTTCCACATAAGGGTACCCCCAATTTTCGGTATTTAAGGGTTCTTGAGTGCGTTTCTCAACCGAATTCGCTGAAATTTGGTACATTGGGTTCTTATTGGGTACTAAATGTCTCCACAAAAAATTATAAATATAGGTCCACTTTTTCTGGTAGCCCCCATATAACGATACCTCCTAATTTTCAGTATTTTGAGGGCTTTGGTCGTATTTTTCCACAGAATTGGCTGTAATTTAGTATTTTAAGTTCTTAATAGGTACCAAATCTCTCCACCATGAATATAGGTCAATTTTTTCGGGTAGCCCCCACATAAGGGTACCCCCCAATTTTCGGTATTTTAGGGTTCTTGAGCGCGTTTTTCAACCGAATTCGCTGCAATTTGGTATTTTGTGGTCGTATGTGGTAACAAATCTCCCTACCAAGGCTGAGGGTAAAAAAACCATTAAAAATTGCTGAAATTTGTATTTGGTGTACATAATCAGTCTGCAGAAAGGTCACTTTGTGGCATGTTCCCTATATTTTCATTTCAAGTACCTTTCAGTATATCTATGGTGGAGGGTTTCCAAAGTTCGGCCCAGCTTTTACTTGTTTAAAGATATTTTTTAAAGTCCAACACAAGGCGTGGATTTTTTAAAGGTCCAACGTGGATTTTCTAAAGGTCCAACACAAGGCGTGGATTTTTTAAAGGTCCAACACAAGGCGTGGATTTTTTAAAGGTCCAACACAAGGCGTGGATTTTTTAAAGGTCCAACACAAGGCGTGGATTTTTTAAAGGTCCAACACAAGGCGTGGATTTTTTAAAGGTCCAACGTGGATTTTCTAAAGGTCCAACACAAGGCGTGGATTTTTTAAAGGTCCAACACAAGGCGTGGATTTTTTAAAGGTCCAACACAAGGCGTGGATTTTTTAAAGGTCCAACACAAGGCGTGGATTTTTTAAAGGTCCAACACAAGGCGTGGATTTTTTAAAGGTCCAACACAAGGCGTGGATTTTTTAAAGGTCCAACACAAGGCGTGGATTTTTTAAAGGTCCAACACAAGGCGTGGATTTTTTAAAGGTCCAACACAAGGCGTGGATTTTTTAAAGGTCCAACACAAGGCGTGGATTTTTTAAAGGTCCAACACAAGGCGTGGATTTTTTAAAGGTCCAACACAAGGCGTGGATTTTTTAAAGGTCCAACACAAGGCGTGGATTTTTTAAAGGTCCAACACAAGGCGTGGATTTTTTAAAGGTCCAACACAAGGCGTGGATTTTTTAAAGGTCCAACACAAGGCGTGGATTTTTTAAAGGTCCAACACAAGGCGTGGATTTTTTAAAGGTCCAACACAAGGCGTGGATTTTTTAAAGGTCCAACACAAGGCGTGGATTTTTTAAAGGTCCAACACAAGGCGTGGATTTTTTAAAGGTCCAACACAAGGCGTGGATTTTTTAAAGGTCCAACACAAGGCGTGGATTTTTTAAAGGTCCAACACAAGGCGTGGATTTTTTAAAGGTCCAACACAAGGCGTGGATTTTTTAAAGGTCCAACACAAGGCGTGGATTTTTTAAAGGTCCAACACAAGGCGTGGATTTTTTAAAAAAACATTTTTGAAGGTCCAAGGACCCATCCAAGAAGCTGCGGTCCCAGATAGTCTAGTGAGGTTGGCTGGAGGGCCAATAAGTGGGTTGTAGCCGAGGTGAGGACCAGTGAAATTAGGACCAACTTCTGAGCAAGTTGAGGGTGGCGAGGGCTACCATAGATGAGTGGTGAGGTCAATAAGTGCATGATAGACGACCTTAGGGTTCTGGGCCTTTATCCCAGACGGGTAGAGGGTCTTTTGAATCTATACAGACAGAACCTACACCAACATTCAATGTTTTTCTTGTGTCTTGTTTCTCATTCATTCCAATAAATTTCCTCTCAGCTTAGTGTTAATTATTTTTACGACTATTACGCTGCAGTAATTTGTTAGTCGATTTGAATTACCTCCCTCCACCCCGTCCAAAAAAAAAACACTCTCGTTTTTTCTTTCTTGTGTTTCGTGTCTGTTGAATGACAATTAAAAGAAACGTGACTTGTTTGACCAAAGAATCTTGTATTTCATTCAAAAAATTAGTTTTATTTAATTTTTGTCGTTGTTGTTGTTGGGAATTTTGGTCTATGGTTATTTAACCTTTTAGCAATGAGGGGCGTTTGCGAAAATTTATTGTATTTTTGTGTTTTGCTGTTGTTGCAGTTATTTGTAAACAGGTGTACGAACTTATGATTTATGCAGTTTAGTTAATTTGTCTGCAATAGTAATACTCAGCAATGGTTTGGGCTGTTCGGCTTTTGTAGGTCATTCATTCATGAATACAGTTATTCCCATGTAGCTGGAAGTGGTTTCAATTTTTGTTTCCGAACATTTGTTTAGCCCAGTCTTTGAAAAATTATTTTTTAAAATCCATGTCTATGGTAGAACTTTTAAAACTATTTTTAACCAATAAGGAAAGTAGTAAAGTCGGACGGGGCCGACTATATGATACCCTTCACCACTATGGGTATATTAAACAGGACTATAACATAAAATTGGATGAAAAAAAATGTGATATTTATCTAAATGTGAATCTACCTAGATCTATCCATAAAGTATGTTAATCGACTTCAAACAAATATAAATAGGTCATCTGTTGGGCTATGTCTGCACTTCTAGAAAACGCAACGAATTCTATGCTCAATTTTGTAAGTTGTGCAAAATTTGATGTCAATCTGACTAACATGAGGAGTTTGATGCCCAATTTATTTGAAATCGGGCGAAAATATATATGGAAGCTCTATCCAAATATTGAGCGATGTCAAACAAACTTGTCACACGTTAGGTTATACTAATTTCAGAACGTTTTGTTCCTATTGATTCCTTAGTACGTCAATTACTTAAAATCAATCTATAATAAAAGGGAGCTATATCTAAATCTGGACCGATTTTCACGAAACTTGGCAGACATCATTCTAGGCTCAATTAAGTTCGTTATGCCAAATTTCGTGCAAATCGAAAGATATTTAGCGACTTTGGTGGACCATTTACATGAAATCGGACGAAACTATATATGGGAGCTATATCTAAATCTTGACCTATTTTCACGAAACTTGGCAGACATCATTCTAGACTCAATTCATTACGATATGCCAAATTTCGTGCAAATCGAAGGATATATAGGGACTTTGGCGCACCATTTACATGAAATCGGACGAAACTATATATGGGAGCTATATCTAAATCTGGACCGATTTTCTCCAAACTTTGCATACATCACTCTAGGCTTAATTCAGCACGTTATACCAAATTTCGTGCAAATCAAAAGATATATAGGGACTTTGGGGCACCATTTACATGAAATCGGACGAAACTATATATGGGAGCTATATCTAAATCTGGACCGATTTTCACGAAACTTGGCAGACATCATTCTAGACCTAAATGATTAGGCTGTACCAAATTTCGTGCAAATCGAAAGATATATAGGGACTTTGGGGCACCATTTACATGAAATCGGGCGAAACTATATATGGGAGCTATATCTAAATCTGAACCGATTTTCTCCAAACTTGGCATACATCACTCTAGGCTTAGTTAGCACGTTATTCCAAATTTCGTGCAAATCAAAAGATATATAGGGACTTTGGGGCACCATTTACATGAAATCGGACGAAACTATATATGGGAGCTTTATCTAAATCTGGACCGATTTTCACGAAACTTGGCAGACATCATTCTAAACCTAAATGATTAGGCTGTACCAAATTTCGTGCAAATCGAAAGATATATAGGGACCGTTTACATTAAATCGGTTAAATATATATATGGGAGCTATATCTAAATCTGAACCGATTTTTCCCAATTTCAATAGGGTTCGTCCTTGGGCCGAATAAGTGACCTGTGCCAAATTTCATCCAATTCGGATCATAAATGCGACCTGTACTTTGTTTACAATTTAACATGGACAGACAGACGGACGGACATGCATAAATCGACTTAGAAAGTTATTCTATGCATAATCTCAAAAGGAACTATGGGTCGATGTCGTTTCCGTTTGCCTGTTACAAACTTATGCACAAAGACATAATACAATGTACCACAGTGAGATGAAAGGTATAAAAATCCACGCCTTGTATGAGACCTTAAAACATATTGTTTAAAAAATCGACGCCTTGTAGGGGTTTTTTAAAAAGTTAAAAAAAAAGTTTTTTGTCTGGTTTTTGTTTTTCAATAATACTTTTAAATTCGTTTTATTTATTCTATATGACTTAAACAAAATATGTTGGTTTCGGCATCACTGTATAATATCCATAAATATTTGAACCATCTTCGCGGATACGTCGCACCTTTATGGGTACCCGACTGAACAGCGGCGATACATATATGGTCATAAAAAATGCCAAGAGGATTCCAATTCCAGCACCCATCCCCACATCAGTCCAATGATGACGATATGAACCAACACGTTCAAGAGCTACCACCAGTACCACCACAACCCCGCAGAATTGTAAAAGACAACGCCACAATTTTATCCATCCCGTCTTGAGACGAGCTTGCATATAAATTGCCATAAAAATCATAGCATAGGCTGTCGCAGCGGTATGGATACTGGGCAGCGAATGCCGCATACTGGCCAACAATTGTGGACTGGCTGTCAACGAGGAGCAGGTGTAGTGTTCAATAAAACGCCCATAATGTGAGGGGTCACTGCAGGCGGTCACATTGTTCGGCAACAGTGGTTGACAAACTTCCATAAAGTAGGGTGCCAGGCGGCCGGTAAAATGTTTCGTACAGCTGCAGGCGATTAACACCAAGGCCAATCCGAACAGGTAGACGCCCATCATATTGTAGCATTCACTGACAAAGGTCGGAATGCGCATGCCCACAAAAACATAACGCTGTGGTGGTTTTGGCACGTGTCCGTATTTAGCCGTGGAAGTGGCCGTCTTCGGTGCGGGAAATGTTACGCGCAACATTTCAATGATTAACACACAGGCAGCAGGTACAGCAATGGCTAAAATTGTCACATGAATACGACGCAGTGTGGTGTCCTGCTTAAAGGGATAAGCAAGGCTTTCGTCACCGCAAAAGAAACCGCGATGGCGGGTGCGCAGCATTTGCGGTAAGATGACCAAGGCCACGGTGAAGACACTGGCCAGCAGCAAAACATCGACGATAAGCCGCATTAGGAGGCGGGTATTGGGATTATTGCAAATGTTCATTTTGAATTTTTTTAAATCAATTTTTTTTCACTTCGTTTTTCGAATTAAATCATTTATCCGTCCCGTCAGCCTTTTTGGGTTCTTAGTTATTTTTTCAAATCTCCTCAAACTTATTCCCCGATCGTATTCGATTTTTATTTTCGCTTATCTTTCGTTATGAAGCTCTCGATTGAAACTAGTTTCGTTAGCGGATGGTCTATTTTGAAATTCCTCAAAATCTGTCTTCGAAAAAATTTAATTTTGTCTCCAACAAAAAATAACATAAAATCGTAGGGAGCGGGGCTCACCTCCCTCCCTCCAACGGTGCAATTTTGTTTTGTTTCGTTTTCATTAGGTTTTTTCGATTTTTTTTTTAAATATTTTAATTTATTCATTCTTTTTTTCTTTCTCTCTCTCCTACTCTTGACCGGATGATGATGATGTTTTTTTTTTAAATACAAATGAAACGTTAAGCTTTTTGAATTTTAAATATCGGATTTTATTTTTGGTGGGCTTCGTTTATTGATTTACTGGAAAACAAAAATAATTTGTTTAAAACCTTAACAACCTGTTCGCACTTTGAAATAACATAGGGTGTATGCGAACCAAAATGGCGCTACATAAAAAAGATTTGGTTTTTTGAAAATATCTTTTAAAGGGCCTTTCAAAGGCGCGGATTTTTTTAAAATATTTTTTAAAGGTTCTTCCATGGGCGTGGATAGAATAGGACAGAAGGCGTGGATTTTTCAAAAGGTATGACAAAAGGCGTGGATTTTTAAAGGTACCACAGAAGGCGTGGATTTTTTAAAGGTACCACAGAAGGCGTGGACTTTTTAATGGAACCACAGAAGGCGTGGACTTTTTAAAGGTACCACAGAAGGTGTGGATTTTTTAAAGGTACCACAGAAGGCGTGGATTTTTCAAAAGGTCACACAGAAGGCATGGATTTTTTAAAGGTACCACAGAAGGCCTGGATTTTTTAAAGGTACCACAGAAGGCCTGGATTTTGTAAAGGTACCACAGAAGGCCTGGATTTTTTAGAGGTACAACAGAAAGCGTGGATTTTTCAAAAGGTACCACGGAAGGCGTGGATTTTTCAAAAGGTACCACGGAAGGCGTGGATTTTTTAAAGGTACCACAGAAGGCGTGGGTTTTTTTTAAAGGTACCACAGAAGGCGTGGATTTTTTAAAGGAACCACAGAAGGCCTGGATTTTGTAAAGGTACCACAGAAGGCCTGGATTTTTTAAAGGTACCAAAGAAGGCGTGGATTTTTTAAAGGTACCACAGAAGGCGTGGATTTTTTAAAGGTACCACAGAAGGCGTGGATTTTTTTAAAGGTACCACAGAAGGCGTGGATTTTTTAAAGGTACCACAGAAGGCGTGGATTTTTTAAAGGTACCACAGAAGGCGTAGATTTTTTAAAGGTACCACAGAAGGCGTGGATTTTCTAAAGGTACCGCAGAAGGCGTGGATTTTTCAGAAGGTAACACAGAAGGCGTGGATTTTTTAAAGGTACCACAGAAGGCGTGGAATTTTTTCCCTTCACCACTCTGTGGTACAGGGTATTATGTCTTTGTGCATATGTTTGTAAGAGGCAAAAGGAAACGAGACAGACACATGGTTCCTTTTGAGAATCTGATTAAAATCACTTAATTGGCCCAAGGACGAACCCTATTGAAATTGAGAAAAATCGGTTCAGATTTAGATATAGCTCCCATATATATTTTTGTCCGATTTATGGTAAATGGGGCACCAAAGTCCCTATATATCTTTCGATTTGCACGAAATTTGGTATAGCCTACTAAATAAAGTCTAGAATAATGTGTACTAGGTTTCGTGAAGATCGGTTCAGATTTAGATATAGCTCTATTTATAGATTCGTCCGATTTTAGGTAAATGGTGCATCAAAGTCCCTGAAAATCATTCGATTTGCACGAATTTTGGCATAGCGTACTGAATTAAGTCTAGAATAACGTGTGCTAAGGTTCGTGAAATTCAGTTCGGATTTACATATAGCTCCCATATATATTTTCGTCCGATTTTATGTAAATGGTGGACCAATGTCCCTATATATCATTCGATATGCACGAAACTTAGCACAGCGTACTGAATTGAGTCTATAATGGTGTGTGCCAAGTTTCAAGAAAATCGGTTCAGATTTAGATATAGCTCCCATATATATTTTCCTCCGATTTAAGGTAAACGGGGCACCAAAGTCCTTATATATCTTTCGATTCACACGAAATTTGGCATAGAGAATGTATTAGGTCAACAATGATGTGTGCTAAGTTTCGTGAAAATCGGTTAAGATTTAGATATGGCTCCCATATATATTTTCGTCCGATTTAAGGTAAACGGGGCACCAAAGTCCCTATATATCTTTCAATTTGCACGAAATTTGCCAGAGGGTACTGAATTAGGTCCAGAATGATGTGTGTTAAGCTTCGTGAAAATCGGTTCAGATTTAGATATAGCACCCATATATAGTTTTGTCCGATTTCATGTAAATGGGGCACCAAAGTCCCAATATATCTCAATTTGCCCGAAATTTGACATAGGATACTGAATTGAGTCTAGAATGACGTGTTCCAAGTTTCGAGAAAATCGGGTCAGATTTATATATAGCTCTCATATAAATTTTCGACCGATTTAAGGTAAACGAGGCACCAAAGTACCTATATATGTGTCTTAAGTTTCGTGAAAATCGGTTCAGATTTAGATTTGGCTCCCATATATATTTTCGCCCGATTTAAGGTAAATGGTGCACCAAAGTCACTATATACCTTTCGATGTGCACGAAATTTGGCATAGGATAATGTATTAGGTCGACAATGATGTGTGTTAAGTTTCCTGAAATTCGGTTCAGATTTAGAAATAGCTCCGATACATATATATATATATATATATATATATTCGTCCGATTGAAGGTAAATGGGGCCCCAAAGTCTCTAAATGTGTATCGATTTGCACGAAATTTGACATAGCGTAATGAATTGGGCCTTGAATGACGTACGTGAAGTTTCGTGAAAATCGGTTCAGATTTAGATATAGCTCCGATATACATTTTCGTCCGATGTAATGTAAATGGTGCGCCAAAGTATCTTTCGATATGCACGAAGTTTGGCATAGCGTACTAAATTAAGGCTAGAATAATGTGTGCAACGTTTCGTGGAAATCGGTTCAGATTTAGATATAGCTTCCATATATATTTTCGTCCGATTTCATGTAAATGGTGCACCAAAGTACCTATATATGTATATATCTGTTGATTTGCATGAAATTTGGCACAGCGTAATGAATTAGGTCTAGATTGATGTGTGTTAAGTTTCGTGAAAATCGGTTCAGATATAGCTTCCATATAGATTTTGGTCCGATTTAAGGTAAATGGTGTGCCAAAGTCCCTAAATATTTTTCGATATGCGAGAAATTTGGCACAGCGTACTGAATTAGGTCAAGACTGATGTGTTCTAAGTTTCGTAAAAATCGGTTCAGATTTAGATATAGCTCCCATATATATTTTCGTCCGATTTAAGGTAAATGGGGCATCAAAGTCCCTATATATATATATTTCGATTTGCACGAAATTTGGCATAGGATACTGAATTGAGTCTAGAGTGATGTGTGCTAAGTTTCGTGGAAATCGGTTCAGATTTAGATATAGCTCCCATATATATTTTCGTCCGATTTGAAGTAAATGGGGCGCCAAAGTCCCTAAATATCTTTCGTTCAATTTCATGTCAATGTTCTTTCGAAAAGGCGACGTCTGTTAGGAGACTATGTAGAATATACCCAAAGTGATGAAGGGTGTCATATAGTCGCCCCAGTCCGACTTTACTACTTTCTTTACTGGTTTAAAAATATTTTTCAATGATCTGAAACAAGACGTGGATTTTTAAAAATATTTTTAAGGTTCCACACAAGGCGTGGATAATAAAAATATTTATTTAATACCTTACCCTTATCTGGTCTATGTGAACCACCCAAATACCGATGTGTCCACAAAATGACCTGTAGTGTGCTACCCTATATTAACATAAATATGTGCTCACAAGAAAATTGTTCTGATGTCAAAAACAGCTGCTGCTGTTGCCTCTGTTGTTCTTTTCCGTCTAGAACTCACCAGTCGTCCCGCATTACACTTTTGACAAATGATATATTCCATTGAAAACAGCTAATAACGGTGATTTGCTTTCAGACATATTACTATTTTACTATGTGGCGACCTGTCACGTTTTAAAACTGTTATTTTCTTTAGCTCTCCGCCCTCCCCCCGCCCGCCCTTACCCCTCTTTGTAAATGTGTTATTCATTAGCAGCTATTTGTTTTAAAGACAAAGTTAAGAATTTTCTTTAGCTTTGCAAAAGAAATTCTTGGCCAAAACAAAGCACACACACACACACGCTCTCAAGACATGATTTAGGGCCATAAACATGGTTCGCTCAGAAGTTGTTATTATTACTATTGGCGATGCAGAAGGCCAATTAACATAGGTGGGTATGTGGCTATGAAGGTGTTTTGGTGTGTGTCTGTGTTTCTGTGGTATTGGGTTAATGATTTTTACATAGCCCATGTAAACAACTTACAGATTGTTCAAAATTGCAAGGCATTACAAGAAAAATTTCCAGTCGATTGTCCGGCCAGGTTTTATTTGATTGCATAAATTAAGAATTGTAATTAATTATTTATTACTCTTTTAGATTTACAAGAATTTCAAATTATAATTAAATAAGAAATGTTGTAGGAAATTGTAAAAAATACGAGATTTTTTCAATACCATATCGACCATTAGGTATGAAACCTGGGCTATGTCGATTTATGCATCTGCGTCCGTCTGTCTGTCCATGTTAAATTTTAAACATAGTACAAGTCGCATTTAAGATCCGAATATGATAAAATTAGGCACGATCACTTATTTGGCCCAAGGACGATACCTATTAAAATTGGAAAAATGGTTCAGATTTAGATATAGCTCCCATATATATTTTCGTCCGATTTAAGGTAAATGCTGCAGCAAACTCCC